TTTTGAACTAACTGCAGTTTATGGAGAGATTCATGAGGGACTAGAAGGAGCAGATTTCTCCTGTATTGGCTTCCTGTTAAATCCAGAATTCAAAATCCTGCACCCCACATACAAGGTCTTAAATAATCAGGCCCCTGTGTATTATTAAGACTGCAGAGGACATGAGCTTCATGTTTCACCAAACCAGCAGATGACAGATGACATGGAAGGATCAGTTCGCGGTTACACAGTCACGTTCATGGATAAGTGCATCCTCGAGTACACCACAGAAGAAGAAGTCCTGCGCTCAGTCAGTCTCACAGCTGGTGAATCCTGTAAAGACGCTTCAGGCTCATATTCCCAGCTTGAGTCTGCTCCATTAGGTGGCTAGAGAGGGTCACAGGTCACAGGCAGGAAGACACGCCCTCTGACCTGTGAGGGGTAGGCCTCGACAGACACTGCTCTCGTCTTTCTGTCCTTACACTCAGATAAGATTGGTTGATCTCGGCAGCTGCTCCATGGACCTCGGAGTATCATCGACATGTTTGGACATTAACTAAGCATCACAGCAAAGCTCAAATAAAACGCTGTGAGCAGCTGATCAGCGTGCTCGACAGCCAGTTTAAATAAACCTGTAAACAAAGATGGATTTGAGGCCGACTTCAGCTGGATCTGTCTGAACGAAGGAGGAGCTGCATCTCACAAAAATAAGCCCTTTATCCTTCAAAGAGTCCATCTGCAGCTTCATCACAGCAGAACACCACCCACCTTCACATGATGAAGCAGGCCAGCACCGGGCTCTTCCTCACCTTGGACAGTGAGGCCAAAGAAACCACAGAGAGGCAGGAAGGAGCTGTTATCATCACCACAGTGGGTCAGTCTCCTCATATTTAAACGTTTCTAACTGAATGTTTACTTTCAGTCAGAGACACAAAACCAACACTGTGCCAAATCAGACCAGCTGTGGCGCCCCCTTGTGGCAGTGAAGAGCCTGAAAGCAGCTTTTTCTTTGGATGATCCTCAGCATTAATTAATTCAATTTACTTATACAGCACCAAACTACAACAACAGTCACCTAAGGCACTTTATATTGTCAGATAAAGACCTACTGCCCCCTATGAGCAAGCACTGCAGTGACAGTGGGAAGGAAAAGCTCCTCTTCAACAGGAAGAAACTCCAAACAGAATCAGGCTCAGGAAGGGGCGGGGCCATCTGCCGAGACCGGCTGGGATATGAGGACAGGGACATGCTAATTAGCAGGTATGTGACCTTCTCTGTGTAATGGTCTCTGAGTTTTGTCGTTTTCAATCCTTAGTTTATAATCTTAATGTGTGAGGTAGAGTCTGAGGTATTCACTGTTAGTTCTTGATGTTTTGAAATCCTAGTTTCTCTGCAGAGTCGCAGCTTCATAGTTTGATGTTTTAGCTAGTGATGTGACGTTCTTCTGTATGGAGGCTTCGAAGCTTGTGTCGAGTAATGGAGGGGGCGTTTCCGCGATGCGCGTATCGAGGCTTGCTTCATTTATGGGAGGAGCTGAAAATGATGACGTCCGAAGCCTCGCTGCCCGGCTGTACCACGTGACTGGTTCATGAAGTGGTTCGAACTTTGCCGCGAG